CTCCCTGTACCTCTTCTATGGCACTCATCTCTTCCAGTAGCTGTCCCAGTTGTCATTACTGAGGAAGGGATCAGGGGAGGGACTCATCAGAAACTTGCCAATTGTCCAAACTTATAGTTAACTGTTTCCTTCTCCCCAACCAGTAGAAGAACCTCCTTGATATTATCTTCATTATTACTTCTTTTTACCCTTCTGAAAGTTTACTCCCTTACTTTACCCCTTTGCTCTCCTTATCTTTGATGTTGGAAAGCATTGTGATGTGAGAAAGCAGAGACAGAATATGTAAAAAACAAAACATAACAAAACAAAAAACTATTTTGAAATGTTGGGATGTGGACAGGGGAAGGAAATTGGGTCAGCAGTGAGGTCAAGGAAGAATTTTTGCTTGTTTTTTGAAGCTGGGAATGAAAACATCAAGATTGTATACTGGTGGGGTTGGTCTCAGTTGAAAGAGAGGTAATGAGCATATGGAAGAAAGGGAGATATTAAAGGACAGAATTCCTCCTGTACTGGATAGAGCCTAGAGCCTAATTCAAATAAATATCTGCTATGAATGTTTGTGTCCCCCCAGAATTCATACGTTGAAACATTCACCAATGAGATGATATTAGGAGATGTGGCCATTGGGAGGTGATTAGGTCCTGAGGATGGAGCCCTCATTAATGAAATTTGTTCTCTTATAAAAGAGGCTGGAGAGCAACCTCTTGCCCCTTCCACCTTGTGAGGACACAGCAAGAGGTGCCATCTGTGAACCAGAAAGTGAGCCTTCACCAGATGCCAAATCTGCCACTGCCTTGATTTGGGACTTCCCAGCCTCCAGAATTGTGAGAAGTAAATTTCTGTTGTTTATAGGCCATCCAGTCTATGATATTTTCTTATAGTAGCTCGAATGGACTAAGACATTATCCTTTGATAAGAGGCTGGTAAATGTCCTCCATTGTCACAGAACAGGAAATAGAGGACTTGACAGGTACAGATGCAAGAATGTTTGTAGGTTGATGGTAGAGAAATGAAGAATTTCATGACTAATGTCTTTAGTTATCTCATAATAACACCTTTCAATGAAGTTAAGATCATTAACTGAGATTAAGGAAGGGAGGTATGATGGGGAAGAGTTTGAAAAAGAAAATGGTGAAAGAAATTGTCGTGTTCTGCTTTAAATTCGTTTTCTCTAGTTCCCTCTTAAATTCCTTACTTTCACACTGACTAAACCACTTTTTTAAGGTTCCTGAAGTCCCACACATTGCTATAAGCTCAGTCTTGATCTAAGCTGACTATCAAGTTGATCACTTCCCCATCTTTGGAATACTTTCCCCTAATGTCTTTTACAATACCATGCTCTCTCAGTTTTTCTCCTGCCTCTCTTATTATTATTCTTAGTCTCCTTTGCTGGTTCATCCTTTTCTTTCTGAACTGTTAATGTTGGCATGCTCTAGGGATCAGTCCTTGGGCTTCTCCTTTCTTTCTACTGTTTATTCATTTCTTTGCTGTTCTCACCTAGTCTCATGTTTTAAAAACCAGGTATATGCTGGAAACTCCCAAATTTATATCTTTGGTCTAAGATTCTCTCTCAGATTCCAGACTCTCAACTACCTACTATTCATTTACATTTAGATTTCTAACAAATGTCTCAAACTCAATATGTGCAAAAATGATATCTAGATTTCTTCCCACAAAAATGATTCCATATGCTGCTGTCCCATCTCCATTGTTAGAATTTCAATTTTTCATTTGCTCAAGGCCAGAAACTTTGACATCAAGTTTTATTCTTTTCTTTTGCCCACATTTCACATCTCTTCTGTTAGAAATCCTGTTGCTATAGCTTCAAAATATATTTAGAATATGATGATTTTATACATTCTGCACTATGGAGCTGTCATCATGTTTTGCTGGATAGCTTTGCTCCCGCACACTTGCCTTTCTGTAATCCATTCTCAACACCTCAGAGAGATTCTTTTAAAGCATAAGTCAGACTATGACCTCCTTCTACTTAAAATCAGCAGTGCCTACTCATTTCCTTCAGAAGAGAAGACAGAGTCCTTCAGGATTCTGGAAGAGCCTGTTTGATCTGGCTTCCCAATACTTTTATGATCTGTTCTGCTCAGACTCTCTCCTTTACTTACTCTACCTCAGCCCTGTGGGCCTCCTTGCTGTGTCTTGAATGTACCAAATATGCTCCTGTCTTAGCACATTTAGTTCTCTTTCAAATCAATTATATCACATTGTATAGTTTCTAGTTCCCTGTAAACACTTGCAAGCTTAAGGCTTATCTTCAAAAATATGGTTAAGTATGGCTGTTTTTTGGTCTGGTTCTGAGAAAACAAATTTCTGGATTCTCCATGGGTCTTTATTGGTTGCTTATTATTTTTGCTTATTCTTACTGGTATTGTGTTGTCTCTTTGTGTATCTGAATCTGATTGTGTATATTCTATATGTATATTCTACATGAAAATTTATTTATAGAAATTATTTGAGACTTTGAGACCATCTACCTATAGACTTTTCTTTGCTTCTGCCAGACATTGGGATTACTAGCAAAGAAGGATTACCTTAACTTTAGGTTTTGAGCTTATTTTTTTCTAGGCAATTACTTTCAGATGATTTGAGGCCAGGCTGAGGACCATGTGAAGTGTTCTGGATCACTCTTACCCCTGAGGCTCGATTTATTCTTGGAAAATCCTGGGCTCTGACTATTGTCTCCCTATGCCTCTGAGATAACAAGTTTGCATCAGCTTTTCCAGCAACTCATCATTATTTGAAAACATCCCCAGGGCAAAAGCAGGTCTCAAATGCTAGACTTTTCTCTTCAGATTCCTATTCTTTCCTCATTTTGCCCAATAATTATTCACTCTCTTTTCAGCTCATTGTCTTTGATTAAATATTTTTCAATATTTTCCTCAGCTTTTTAGTTGTCCCTTATGAAAGGATTGCTTCATGTTCTTTCATCATTCTCAGAAGTGGAAATCCAACTTAGAAACTTTGGACTTGTTCCTCCTGTTAGAATGCTCTTTATTTGAATATCCACATAGCCATGTCCCTCACATCCTTTAAGTCGTTGCTCAGATGTCACCTTCTCTACACTGTGATCTGTCCTTCTTGACTTCCTTAACATCTGGGTGATCCAATGTTTTTGGTAGAAGCAAAAACAAACAAACAAACAAACAACCCCCCCCCAAAAAAAAACTTCCTCTGAAAGAATATATTACCTTAGGCTCCAAATTATTTCACTTTTATTCATTGTATTTATCACTTTCTAACATATGATGTAATTTATTGTTTATTTTCTCTCCTGAGTGTAAGCTCCCCTAAGACAGGACATCTTTGACTCTTTTATTAACTGATAAGTCTCAAGGGTGTAGAACAGTGTTAGGCACAGAGTGGATTCAA